TGAAGTGGCAAATTCCTATCATTATGTGGTTCAATATGACGCTGCAGTCTGCGTTTGAAGTGGTGCGCAGCTTCATAATATCACCTTGAAACCTTTGCTCAAAGAGTCATTGGGCGCACGGCGCTCGATTAATGATTATATGGGGAAAACGATTTGTAGTGCGCTCTCAGGCGACGCACCCCGTCGCCTGGGTTTCACCAGGAAATCAAAGCACGTGGTTGTTTTCTTTTCTAATGAGAGTGACATTATCAAATTAAAAAAAAAAAGTTCTTCTTGACAGGGGTCGGCTCACTGTTAGTGTCGCCTCAGTGCCAGGAGTGAACCTGCTCACATGTCCTAATTCAGAATGGAGCCACTGCGCCTTTAAAGCGTAATCATATCTCCTTGAGCAGGCCTGCGATCAACTAGCGTCAAACTTCACAATAATATTAAAAATATATATAATGCTATATTACTAGGAACAAAAACGCATCACTGGAGAATGCACGGATATGGCTGCATTGTGGGCTGTGCGTAACGGCTGTTTAAACGCCCCAAAAAGCCAATAAACATAAACAGACTTGTTTAGACATGAGCGATGACCTAGCCAGAGGAAAGACAAGGACGAGCTACACATTAATGACCATGTTAGAAACCAAGGGTCGTCTGATATATGTAATTCCCCCTTTCACTTTTAGGTTCAAATCGCTAACGGAAATACTCCACTCACCTTGACAGCTGACAGCGTCAAAAATAATAGTGTCAAACTGTCAATAAAGTTCATGGTGTTGGAAATCCAATCCAAAGCCAGGCGACGTTTTAAAATCCAAGCAGCCAATAAGGCAATTTGTTCACAAACATGAAGTTTACAACAAGTACAACACAAGTGAACCGGCTGAAAACTTCTGTAGTTGGGGGAAGGGGTTTTTTTAATCCATGCTGGTCCCGGGTTTAAGGACACAATCCGTTGCGCTTAACTTGTTCTTTTTCCTCAACTGTTTCCGATGCTTTTCAAGATATCCAGAAACACGAAAATCCAAGACGCACAACGTCTCACATTGTTCCGCAGCAGACCTTTATTTTCTTGCCAGGCAGTTGCACTCCACATTACCAAAATAATCCCATGCTTGTTGCGCCAGCGCTCTTCAAGTATCTTTGCATTGGAAACTTACATGTGCAATTTGAACCCGTGCACCAGGCTGGCTTCGAGTGGACGAGTGAACCGCGCAGTGATAATTTTCGTCCCGACAGAACTTAGTTTGCTTTCTCCGGCTGGATTATTCCTCTTACTGCAGGTCAGCTCTACGCGGTCTCCACATACTGTGGCAACGATTGTAGGTGTGTCTTTGCCCCAAAGTTTCATCAAACAGACTCATGTGACCATGCACGCCATCATCAGTAGGCTATTAAAAACGCAGAGCTGAGCTCAGACGTGCCGGTCGGATTTTCTCTTTATTTGAAGAGAGAGAGAGAGAGAGAAAAAACGAAATAGAAAATACGACATTTTTGGTAATTTATTCTTATTATGAAAATGAACACTGAAGTCTTCTGGTCTGTCCCTCCCCCATAATAGTTCTAAAACATGTGCACTGCACAAAATAAAATAAAATGTAAAATAATAATAATATTTTTTTTAAAGTGAAAGTCATCTTTAATTTTACACTACACACATTTAGTCTGCATCATTTAAATAATATTTAAAAAGCTTCACTTGTGTTTCCGGAAGCTGAGACATGGACACACACTCACATTTGCTCTCTTATTATTTGAGAAAATGTGTTGCTAAAAGAAGACGTGTGTGTGTCTTCGGACACGTATGCCTTTTTGCCCGATCAGTGTGTGTATGTGTGCGTGCGTTGTGCAACGTTGCCGGTTACCGCATCGCGCCGGTTGGTGCGCGTCAGGACGCACACGCACGCACTTCATGGAAAGTAGGTAACTCGTGACTTCCTCCGCGTCACACCGGTGTTGGATAGACCCGGAGAGTCGGTCAGGCTCTTCTTCGGACTCCTCTCTCCGCATTTCCCCCCTCCCCTCATCTGATCGCATCACGTAGACGAGGAAGAGGAGAGAAGAGAAGAGGAGAAGAGTGGAACGTGTCTGTGTGGAAATTGTGGTGACGATGATGACGATGATGATGATGATGATGATGATGATGATGATGGAGATGACGACGATGATAAAGCAGGTTACTACTGTACCATATGGGCTTAGTTCACATTAAGCGGCGGACACTGTGCACATGTCGGTGATTGCAGATATAACACATAACGACCTTAGGATGCAATGTGACGTACGTTTCATATGCTAAAATGGCAAAGGCAAAAATGTTACCAGTTTTGGATAAATACAAAAAAAAAGAAGAAGCTTTACTATCTTAAGTAAAAATACATACCAATAAATGTGAAATGTAACGTCAAACATTTATAGACACCATGTAAGCCCTTTGGCAGACAAAGACAGACGGATCACAGAGATAGGAGCACAGTCCCTAATAATCAAATTAATGATGGCTTGGTTCCAATTAGCTTCCTTAAGTTTAGGGTGGAATCTAATTTGACTGCCACACTGTCCTAACTTGCAGGAGGGTGAACACAGCCATCAATAATGTCATCAGTAACACAAGTACTTTACCTGCTATAGCATGTTAAAATGGCAGCTCCCACCGATTTGACTAGAGTTTTTTTCTTTTTCTTTTTATAGCAACAAAGTGGATTCGATTAAAAATAGCACCCAAAGGAAGTCTGAGACGCATGCAGTTACAAAACAGCAAAGATTGTAGTCTCCATTGTTCAATAATATCCCTTTAGTAAAAAAAATAAAAAAGAAGAAGATGTATGTCCTGGTGATAAACGTATTCTGAAGATGTCATCAATTCTATTTACGTATAGTCTTGGAGCCCTCTGCTGGAACTACAGGCCACTGCAGGAAACAAATGTGTCCAGCTCGATGACAGACAAGTCACCAACGAGGTGGAAAAAGGCAGATAAGCACGTAATGACAAGTTCACAGGGATTTCCCTCACATACTGTACTGCTTACTAAAACTCATACCTTAGTGTGCAATAAAATGGAATGGGAAAGAGAGAGAGAGAGAGAGAGAGAGAGAGAAAGCCAAAAGACACAATGAGACTTTACAGAGGAGAGAAGTGAGGCATGATGGTGCAGGAAAACAGAAGCAGGGTGAATGATAGGTAAGAGAAAGAGAGCATTTAGGAAGAGAGGGATTGGGCTTGTCATGTAACAGGAGCAGTCTTGAGAGGAGTCCCTTAGGCTCGGTACCGGTTCAGTGTTTTAATTGAAGAATAATACTCGGGTTCATTAGCGGGGTCACCAAGCTCCTGTTTCTGCTGACTCAGCATGTGTTTTGTGCTGACTGCACACTCACATATGTAAACATACACTTTAATGAAATGGTTCTTTCCCAATAGGACAATAAACAGCCTCCCCTGCATTGAGACACTCACTGACGCACACTTATAAATGCCAAGGTAACAGGAAATCAGGGTGATTCCTTTGAGTGCTGTGGACAAAGGCTGAGGCCAAAGTCACGTTTTAAATCAGTCAGATTTTGGCCGTTTTCCAATGTGCCCAAAGCAAAAGTGTGATATCAGGCCAGGACGACAGAAGTCGTTGCCTGCACAAACGACTCTGTTGATGGTTGACGGTGTGAGGCGCCATGCCTGCGGCTGTTCTTCTTGTAACTTGCTTTGGCTGCTGTTCTTTCATTTATACATGAATTATTTTAAAATGAGTTAGTGTTGCCAAAAATAACATAGATGTGGAGATAGGCCGTCATTGCTCAATATATCAACTAGGTGGAATTCACCTAGTGCCTTAGATGTATTTGGTTAGCATGAGAATAAAATAATGCATTTCTCTGAAACGACTATGGGTGAGTGATTGATTACAGGTCCTCATCAGTTGCATTTAAATATTATGCAGAAATGTCGGCGTCAATCACTAACAATGACAAACAAAATGGGAGTGTACTGAATTACAGTTGCTAAAAGACTTAACCTAAACAGCATAGCAATGACCATTGTGGTTTGTCTTTTGGAACCTAAATGTCCAACCAATGAAAGCATCACAGACCAAGATGCCATTCAGTCTTAGCTAAGTCCTAGGACTGTTTCAATAATTCAGTGTTTCCCAACCTTTTTTGAGCCCCGGCATGTATATATTATCAGGAATTCTAGTTTTAATTCTAGTTTAAATTTACTAAAAATGTACTCCTGTTTAGTTGAAGACAACGCCAATATTCTGGCAGGAATTGAAGAAAAACACTCATAAAGATCTTCAACAGCTCTGATTATCATTTTTTAGTTTCAATAACCATCTGCTGCCACCTAGGGGAAGAGTGTTTAATTGCTCTGCCTGGCACACATTGTTAAACAAAGAAAAATTACAGTATTTGCAATACATAATTAATAGTTAATCATTAATGTGCCACAGCACAGTGGTTAAGGAATCATTGCAATAGTTCTTTGTGGGTCCAGATTTTCAGACCATGCTTTTCGCCTAAGAATGTTCTCCAAATACCATCACAAGTGCTACACATGATTTTTTTTTTCCTGAACTACTGTCATTACTGTCCATACATGTTGTGGTGTCTGTCCCAAACCCAGCAAGGGAAAGACGATAGCTAAATTGAGCGGCCCATCAGGACTAATGTAACCAGGACAAGTAATAAGATGACATGCAGAACAAATAGCCACACAGCAGCACAACTATCTTTTTGAAAGAACTTTGTCATTAGACGGAAA